TTCTAGAAGGTGTTGTAGGCCTTCGTAGACTGGTCAGCTTCAGTCTCTTCAGCACCAGTGGTTGAGGCATATACTTGGTCTACTGTGATGTTGAATGGTTTGCATTGGATTTGAACAGAGATTATTCTGTCTTTTTGGAGATTGCATCCCACTACTGCTTTTCCTACTCTTTTATTGACTATGAAGGCTACTCCATTTCTTCTGAGGGATTCTTGCCCGCAGTAGTATACCTGATGGTCATCTGAATTAAATTCACCCATTCCTGTCCATTTTAGTTCACTGACTCCCAAGATGTCGATGTTCAGTCTTGTCATCTCTTGTTTGACCACATGCAGCTTGCCTTGATTCATGGATCTTACATTCCAGGTTGCTCTGGAGTATAGATCTTTGCAGCATCGGACTCTCCTTTCACCACCAGATACATCAGCAACTGAGTGTCCTTTTGGCTTTGACCCAGTCGCTTCATTCTTTCTTGCGCTACTAGTACTAGCCCTCCGCTCTTCCCCAGTAGCATATTGGACACCTTCTGACCTGAGGGGCTCATCTTACGGCATCATATCTTTTTGCCTTTTGGTACTTTACATGGGGTTTTCATGGCAAAGATACTGGAGTGGGTTGCCATTTCCTTCTCCAGTGGAAACATATGCATTCCTTGATACATATGCATAGTAATGTGCCCCAAATTTCATCTTTTTGAGCAATGCATTGCAGGACAGCCAGACAATACTTATTAAAGTACACTCCAAATGACAGCAACATACCCATGAGTCACATTAACAATGCATCACCTGAAATTTTCTTTTGTTATGTATTATAAGAATGATGTAAATTTTAATATTTTTAAGAGACAGGGTTGTTATTATCGACATTATGAAAGTTGCATTTTGAAAATGAACATTCACATGAAATGTTAGTTCTATTCCTTAGAAAATCTCCTGGGATGCTGAAGAAGTAAATGTCAGATGTAAAAGTTTAGCAGCTCACACATTTAATTTGTTTTAATTAGTAGAGAAGAGTATTTGAGAAAAGGGTTCTCTTCAAGTGCATCCTGTCCCCTCACACAGATCAATCAAGTCTTTCTTAATCCTTGCTGAAGTGTGTGCAAACATTTTTTTTTTTACTTGTACAGCAGTCAGTAAGTTTTCTTTTTTTAAAGAAACCTGGTATGAGCAGTGATTCTCTTCCCCTTCCTCCTCTCCATGGGTTTTTAGATAATTGGTTTGAGAATGAGTACGTCCCACCACTTGCCTATTGGACCCTTGCCCGTCTTGGTTAATAAATAACTCCAAGCACGGGATTGGGATCTGGATCTTGGAAATGGTTAATGCTTCTCTGAGGGAGGGTCGAGTACCTGCCCCTTAAAAGGAGGCGGTAGTCCGACTGGTCCTGAAGAAAGCGTCACTGGATCCAAAGATGGCCACTAATTATAGACCAGTGGCCAACATCCCGTTTCTGGGCAAGGTGTTGGAGCGGGTGGTGGCGGGACAACTCCAAGCTCTCTTGGATGAAACTGATTATCTGGACCCATTTCAGTCCAGCTTCAGACCCGGGTACGGTACTGAATCTGCCTTGGTCACCCTGTACGATGACCTGTGCAGGGAGAAGGACAGGGGGAGTGCGTCCCTGTTGGTTCTTATTTATTTATTTTATTTATTAATTAAAACATTTCTATGCCGCCCCATTCGCCGAAGCCTTGGGGCCGCTCACAACATAAAGTTAAAATACAAAAAATAACAATATAAAAAATAACAATATAAAATAAGTCGCCCTGGCCAGATAAAATAAGCAAATACTATTAACAATTAAAATGATGCTTAAATAAAAAGGTCTTCACCTGGCGCCGAAAAACAAGTAACGACGGCGCCAGGCAGACCTCTCTGGGGAGCGCATTCCATAGACTGGGCGCCACCACAGAGAAAGCCCTCCTCCGAGTACCTACCCTCCTAATTTCTTTCATGGAGGGTTCCCGGAGAAGGGCATCTCCCACAGATCTCAAGGGGCGGGCGGGCATATATGGACGTAAGTGCTCCTTCAGGTAACCAGGACCCAAGCCGTTTAGGGCTTTATAGGTCATCACCAACACCTTGAATTGGGCCCGGACTTCAATGGGAAGCCAGTGAAGCTGACAGAGGACTGGGGTCATGTGAACATAGCTCCCAGTCCCTGTCAGCAGCCTGGCAGCTCTACTTTGAACCAATTGAAGTATCTCACGTTCCCCTGCCTCTGTGAAACCCTGCCTATACTTCTGGAAGTTCTCGGTCGACATACTGCTGGAGCCTAGCTTGTAGGATTTTGAGCATAACTTTGCTAGCATGTGAAATAAGTGCAATGGTGCAGTAGTTTGAACATTCTTTGGCATTGCCCTTGTTTGGAATTGGAATGTAAACTGAACTTTTCCAATCCTATAGCCACTGTTGAGTTTTCCAAATTTGCTGGCATATTGAGTGTAGCAATTTTACTGCATGCTTTTTTAAGATTTTGAATAGCTCAGCTGGAATACTGTCACCTCCACTGGCTTTGTTGTTGCTCAGACTTCCTAAGGCCCATTTGACTTCACATTCCATGATGTCTGGCTCAAGGTCAGTGACCACCCCATCATGGTTATCAAGGACGTTAAGCTCTTTCTTGCATAGTTCTTCTGTGTAATCTTGCCACCTCTTCTTAATCTCTTCTGCCTCTGTTAGGTTCGTGCTATATGCTACTATTCTTTGTCTTATACATATGCCAGTAGAAAATGGCAGTAGAAATGTCAGAGTGTCAACTTTTTAGCTCTTTTGGAGAATACAGTATAAATGTCCTGACAGTAAATTTTGGAAGTTGCAGTAATGCAATGAACTCAAATGAAGTGATAATGATCAAGAACTCAACAAATAGGGTGGTTTAAGGATAATGGAATTAAAGTAGTTGACTGCACTTGCTGGAATTCAGTGAGTGAGTCCACATAGCAGTCTTATGTGTATTAAATAAGGATGTTCAGGAAAACCATCTCCTCATTTAAATTTATGCATCAAAGTGAAAAACAGCATGCAGGATTACAGGGCTAGTGAGCAACTCCATAGAATACAGCTTTACTTTTTACAAGTATATTGGACAGAGACATTCAAATAAAGTTGAACATTCAGACAAAGGCCTAGCTCCCCTATAGCACATACAAGAGAGGTCTGTCAAAGCTGCAAAATTCAGTGGAAATCTGAGCCGTCTTGAGGCAAAACCTCCTTCATGGAAGCTGCATTTCATTGAGGAATGTGGCCAAAGACAAAATAAGTGGGCTAAATATAACTGTAGTTGTAATAATAAAAACAAACACTGCAGCTTAAAGTTCCTACTATCAGTCAGCAAGCCATAGGAAAAATGTTCCAATCTTTTATAATAGCAGAAAGCAGGAGGAGAAAGCACAAATGGAGGGAAAGCGTCAAATGACTGGTAGTTGGAAAAAGGGGGCTTAGCTATCTAGAGATGGCCAGAGGGTCAGATTAGTCCTTAAACCTGAGGTTCTGCACTCTTAAGGAGTTAGACACTGGCGGAGAGGGAGAGTTTGCCTAGCAAAGCTTGCCTCTGTAGCTCTCATCACACAGCCCCCAGTTTTGTACCTGCACTACCACTTTAGCTGAACAGATCGAAATAATACATTTCTACAGTCTTTCCTGAGCATTTCAGGGGCATTGTGAATGACCCTTTTTCCTGAAAGAAATCAAGTCTGAAGTGAAGCACTCATTGTATCACGTATACACAACACAAATACATTTAATACAATTTTGCTGTATTTGCAGCAAAGAAAAATGTAGCAGAATGTGTGATGAGCTTTTGCATTCTTGGTTTAAATTTAATTTTGCCTCAGTCATGATCTCATGAGATGAGATAATCTCAACCTTTCATATGATATTATTCCTTCCTTTTCCTGTGTGCAATGGTGAAGTGCAAATGTTTATTTAGGAATAACAGCACTATCCACACACAATATCAAAAGGCATAGGAAAAGCTAACGTCTCTGTAAATTTTTGTGTATGCACATGGGGAGAGAAGACTAACAGCCCACTGTGGTATGAACATGCTCAGTAGACTAGTTTTTCTGGGGGAAAATAGCATTAATTAGGGTTTGGGTAAAACTAAGTGGAATCAATCAAGCTGTTATTCATGGGCCAAGTCGTGCTTCACATAGCCTAGGAAAGTGAGCCAAGGAAAGAAAAGTCCATGGACACTTGCAGAAGGAAGGCCGTGCAACTGGCAAGCTTCTTGCATCTCAGGAACAGAACCACCAAGGCTGTGGCAGGTGGCATGGAAGAGGGTTACTGCTTATGCAGTGTCTGTATAGGGTTCCATTCCTGGTAAGCCCTTTTTCTATGTCAGGTAGAGCAGCACGACTGCACATGACATGGAAGAGGGATGCTGCATACACAGCAGCTGCGCAGGACATCATTCCTAGTGAGTCCCACATAAACAGCCCCTTTCCACATCAGATGCAGCAGCTCAGAGACGACAAAATGTTGCACAGAAGACGGAAGTTGTGCCACATGTGAAGGTTGATTGCCCAAGAACACCTCAAAGACACTAGTCATTCCCACTGGGAACTTCAGCTCAAGCGAAATGAAGTGAAATGATGTGAAAAGAGAAAATAGAGATCAAAGGAAAAAACTGCTGGGGGGAAATGCCTGCTCAAGATGAGGAATTACACCGTGGTTACCATTCCTTTTCTTGGTTAGTTTATTAATGGCAATCAAGAATGGATTTATCAGCAGTGTTCTGGGCTATTAATGGCACAATCCTATGCACATTTAGACAAGAAAAAACATCCTAAAGGTCCTAGAATTTCCCAGCCAACTATGATGCCTGGGAGTTGTTGGGAGCTGTAGGGCTTTTCACCCTCTACGTATGCATAGAATTAACTAAATAATTAACATAGAATGAATTAATGAACCAACTAGTTCTGGTGTTCTTAGAAATACAGAACATAGAAACATAAAAACAGAGCAGAAGGGGTCTCCCTGGACATCTAGTCTGACCTCCAGCTCCAGCCAGCTCTGCTCATGACATGCCCACCATGTGCATGTCCAGCCTATCCTTGAACCCCTCACCAATGGGGCTTCAACCATCTTCCATGGAAGCCCATTCCTTACCCTAGGTGTCCTAATTGTCAGGAAGTAGTTCCTGACATCCAAATTGAACCTTGGTTCCCTGAGATTTGCTCCATTGGAATTCGTCCTGCCCTCCTCTGTAATGAGTGAATGGATGAATGAATGAGCATATTTTGGGTAAAGTAACTGGGAAAACCTGAAGAATGGTAAAAGCAGGACAGGAATACAATGGACCCTGAGTTCCCAGATGAAAAGCAGAGAAATGCTGTCAGAGTGAAGAGGTCATGATGCTTGGCAGTAGTCCCAAGGATACCTTTTAAAGAAATGTAAAGAAAATAAGTGACTAGAACATTCCTGGAGAAGTAAAGCAATGAACTGGATGAGACTGAACAGTGAGTTCTGCCCTAAAGAATAAAGAGTTTAAACAAATAGGTAAGGCATATTCAGCAAGGACTTGGCAAGTTTCATTGGGCCAAACTCATCAGTGCTGCAATGTTTGTGACCCCTATCACTCCATTTGAGACTGCTCAAGTCAAAGTGGGGTTTTCCTGGTGAGCGTGAAAGGATGAAAATTAGTGTGAGTGAATGCAAGTGATTTCCCTTATACTGTAGTCAATAAAAGAGTTATGGCTGTCTGTGTATCTACGTACTTCTATCTCCACTATCCAAGCTCTTGGGGTGATAAGCACTGCTCAGGATTGAAAAGAAAAGAAAGGTCCTTTTGTGACATCTCCACTGGGAAAAACTGGTCTCGACACACCTTCTCATGACACCCCCTCATGTATGTACATGTGGCCAAAAGCCTCCTTTTTTCCAGGCTGAAAAGACTCAGTTCCTTCAATCTCTCCTCATATAGCTTCCCCTGCAATCCGTTCACCATCCTTGTGGCCCTGCACTGCACCAATTCCAACCTGGCTATATCTTTCCTGCAATGTGGAGCCCACAATGGAACACAATATTCCACTTGCAGGTACACCAGAGTAGTATAGAGTGGCAGTAATACCGCTCTCCATCTAGAAGCTTTGCTTCAGGCTATGCATCCAAGGGTAGTGTTTGCCTTTTTAATCTCTGTGTCTCAACGCTGGCTCATGTTCAGCTGGCTGTTGACAAGTACCCTGAGATCCCTTTCTCAAGTGCTCTTCTCTAGCCACTTGTCTCCCATCTGTTCATGTGACACCCATTCTTGTGTCACAAGTGCAAGTCCTTACACTCACCCCCATTGAATGCCATCCTGTTGTCCCCTCCCCACTTCCATAGTCTGTCCAGAACCTTCTGGTTCTGGAGTACCTGTTCCTCAGTTGTGACCACCGCCCCCATTTTAGGATCTATGAATTTGATCAGCAGACTGGTCACCCCCTCTTCCAGGTCACTGATGAAAAGATTAAAGAAAATTGGTCCCAGAACAGAGCCGTGGGGGAACCCGCTCATCACCAGCTGCCATCCTGATGATTCTCCACTAATCTCCACTAAGCAGATCTTCACTACTTTCACTTCTCATCACCTCTGCATTCTGAGAGCTGGGGATCCAGGAAGCAAATTTGCAAGGGCTGCTAAATTTGTTGCTTTCCAATATACTAGCAAAAACTCAACCACCAAAGCCAAAGCAATAAAAACATGGCTAAGGATCAAGCAGGGAAGGCCTGAATGCACCAGGATTTACTGATCCAAATCATGCTGCTTATCAGCTATAATTTGTGGTCTACAGTGCCAGGAGATTTGCCATGCCCTTTTTTGGCAGGCCAAGAAAGGCAATGAGAACAGCCATGGGCACTGCTCTGCCACTACACTGTCAATGTAGTGGCAGAGGCACTATGGTAAAGTAGTTGAATATAAGGCAGAAAATGACTTTTTTGTAAAGTTTACAGAAGGGAAGGTTGTTTTCTGCTTTTTATTAATGAATGCATTGATAGATTTCAAGGATTTGTGATTTGGTTAAGGATTTATGGCCCATTCATCAATAAACTTGAGGATTGCTTTTAAATTTCCAAACACAAAACAACAAAGTAAAAAGCATGCAGATAAAAAACTTAGAAACATGGCCCCAAACAGTAAAATAAATGAAATAAATGTAAAAAAAAAAGATACACATAAAATATAAAATGCGTTTAATTAAATTAAAAGTTTTGGAAACTAAGATAACATCAAGAAGTACCAGGCAAATAGAGATGGTAGTGAATGTCAGGTGCTTAGCTTTTTAATATGAATAATTTCAAAACCATGCACAAACGAGAACTCAGTTAATTAACTAATACATAGAAAATAACACTACTTGAATTTTGCAATGAGATTTACAATTGAAAATGTATACAGAAATTTATATTTATTCATCTGTATAAAGATAGAAAAGTGCTTCTAAAATGCATATATAAGTGAAAATAACATTAAAACTCATTGTATTAGGAAATTTGCTTCCAGAAATATGCATATGTACAAAACTGTGCTCTAAAATGCATACATTATTAGGAAGAATACAAATAAAAGATGTGCACATACTTTCATATGACTTTTTTCAGAATTTAGAATGAATTTAATATTAATAAAATTCTCAAAGTTTGGGGTGAACAAAATTTAGGACTAGAAAAATTAGAAATTAACATGATCTGGAATTAGCAGATTGACTTATATCTATAGGTAAATGAATTGTCATTTCCTTCTGGAAATGGCATATCACAATTAGGTCACCAATCCAAAAAGTCCCTTACTTTTTGCTACCTGCCATTCTTCAGATAGTAGAGAAACATGGAGAAAAGCTTTTAATTAAGAGCTTAATGCATGGACAGGCATTTGTGTTAGTACTTTCATGTACTCTTCTCTATCCTTGCATTTTAAGCTTCACCTGACTTCTATGTAATTATCAAAATAGCATGAGCTTTTGTTTTTCTTTGTGCTGGTTAACAGCTTTACCTGTTTATTTCTTGTTCTTTTGTAGCTTTTAAAGACACAGATTTTCCCTCAATGACAAATTGACAGTTCTAAAATTGCATGCCCAAGAAAATAGATTATTACAAGAAAGTTTCAAGAAATAGTTATCTGTTATGTAACATTTTGTGGTTAGTACCCTCACACAACTGAATGATGTGGTTTTTCCTTTACTTCTCCTGGCCATCATGCTATGCAATCTGAAATAATTTAATGGGATTGTCAGTTTCTCCTCATGAAGGGGTCAGGGCTGAAATATCTTAGATGAAGCAGGACAGAAGCCAGAGGCACAAAAATGGAAAATAATGGGCATCTTTTACACTTTTGGCATGCAGAGTTATCTCCTAATCTTTTCTTTTCCTGAGTATTCAAAGAAATCAAACATTTTGAGTTTGAGAGAAAGTGCATTACAGCTTAATAGTCATAATCAATAATCTAAACCTATTTAAATACCATGAACAAAATGATGCAGAAAAGTCCGAAGTTAGCAATTCCAGATGGTCTACAGTCCAGGTTTCACTGTACCACTCCAGTATTAATCATAGGCAGGTTTCACTGTACCACTCCAGTATTCATCATAGAATCACAGAATAGTAGAGTTGGAAGAGGACAAAAGGACATTAAGTCCAACCCTCTGCTCAGTGCAGCACTCCAAGTTGAACCATCCTTCTCACATGGCTGTCCAATTATCTTTTGAATGATTTTAGTGTCAGAGAGCCCACAACCTCCTAAGGTCATTGGTTCCATTGCCATACTGCTCTGACAGTCAGGAAACATTTCCTGATATCTGGCCAGATTCTGGTTTCCTGTAATTTGAGCTGATTATTCCATGTCCTGCACTCTGGGGTGATCAAGAAGAGATATTGTCCCTTCCTCTTTGTGGCAGTACTTACAGAGTACTATCATATCTTCTTCCAGTTCTCTCCCCTCCCCTCCCCTCCCCTCCTCTCTTCTGGCTAAACATGCCCCATTCTTTCCATCTCTCCTGGATTTTGTTTCCAGTTCCTGGATCATCCTTGCTGCCCTCCTCTGAACCCTTTCCAGCTTGTCTGCATATTTGTTAAAATGTGGTGTCCAGAGCTGGACACAGATGAGGCCTAACCAGTACTGACTAAAGGGGATATAGCATTTCACATTATTTGGAAGCGATGCTTATATTAATGCAGCCTGAGATAGCATTTGCCTTTTTTGCAGCCTTTTTTGTCATAGATCACAGTGATAACATTGTTGACTCATATTTTATTTATTTATTTATTTTTCTATTTATATCCTGCCTTTTTCCTACAAAGGGCTCAAGGCAGCTTACATCATTCTCCTCCTCCATCTTATCCCCACAACAACAACCCTGTGAGGTAGGTTGGGCTGAGAATCTGTGACTGGCCCAAAGTCACCCAGTTGGCTCCATGGCCAAGCGGGGACTAGAACCCAGATCTCCTGGGTCGCAGTCCCATGCTCTTAACCACTACACCACACTGGCTCTCTGACAATTCCAAGAACCTTCTCACTTGCAGTATTGTTGAGCCAAGGATTCCCAATCTTGTAATGATGCAATCATTTTTTTTCCTTATGAGCAGAACTTGATATTTTCCTGACTGAATTTCATTCTGTTGTTTTCAGCCTAGCATTCCAGCCTGTCAAGATCTCCTTGAACCTTATTTCTGTCTTCCAGGTTATTGGCTATCCCACCCAGTTTTGTGTCATCTGCAAATCTGAGCATCATTCCCAGAATTTTCTCATTCAAATCATTAATAAAATGTTGAAAAACACTGGTCCCAAGGCTGAACCCTGTGGTACCCCACTTGTTACCTCTCTCAAGTATGAGAAGGTGCTATCTTCAAAAAGGGGAAAAAGTTGAACCTGGGAACCATAGACCAGTTAGTCTGACATCAATCCCTGGAAAAATTCTGGAGCAAATTATTAAAAAATCCATCTGCAAGCATCTTGAAGAAAATGCAGTGATGAATAGAAGCCCACATGGATTTATCAGAAATAAATCCTGTCAGACTAATTTAATCTCATTTTTTAACTGGGTATCCTCCCAAATGGACAAAGGGAACACTGTGGACATAATCTACCTAGACTTTAGCAAAGCTTTTGACATAACACAATACCACATTCTAATAAGCAACTTTGCAAAAACTGGACTAGATGGATCAGGTGGATCCAAAACTGGCTGCTAAATTGGTCACAAAGAGTGCTCATCAATGGCACCTTCTCAAATTGAATGAAGGTAACTAGTGGGGTGCCACAAAGTTCAGTCCTGGACCCAGTGCTCTTCAATATCTCTATTAATGATTTGGATGAGGAAGAACAAGGAAAGATAATCAATTTGCAGATGATACAAAACTGGGCAGAACAGCAAACACTCTAGAAGACAGATCCAGGGTGATCTTGATAAACTTGAACACTGGGCTGAAAGTAACAGAATGAAATTCAATTAGGACAAGTGCCAAGTCCTTCACCTAGGAAAAAGAAACCAAAGGCATTGATACAAGATTTGGAATATGTGGCTCAGCAGAACTGAAAAAGAAAAAGATCTCAGTGTAATTGTGAACAATAGGCTAAGCATGAGCCAACAATGTGATGCAGCCGCCAAAAGGGCAAATGCTATTTTGGGATGCATTAACAGAAGTATTACTTCCAAATCACAAGAAGTAGTGCTTCCTCTATACTGCTCACTTGTCGGACCTCACCTGGAATACTGTGTCCAGTTCTGGGCACCAAGATTTAAGAAAGACACAAGGAAATCAGAAAGGGTCCAGCAGACAGCAACAAAAATGATCCAGGGTTTGGAAACTATGTCCTTTGATGAGAGACTGAGAGAACTGGGCATGTTCAGCCTTGATAAGAGAAAACTTGGGGGAGGGGGTCATTATATCCCTGTATAAGTACCTCAAAGGCTGTCACAAAGAGGAAAGTCAAGATCTCTTCTTGCTGATGCCAGAGTGTAACAACACGGAATAATCAATTCAAGCTGTGAAAACCCAGATTCAGGCTTCCTCACAGTCAGAGCAATACAACAGTGGAACCAACTGACTAGAGAGGCGGTGGGCTCTCCCACACTAAAGACATTCAAAAAGAAACTGGGCAGCCATCT